GGCTGTGATGGTGATGGAGGTGGTGGTGTGGCTGTGGTGGTGATTGTGAAGGTGGTGATGGTGGCATTGATGTGATGGTAGTAATGGTGGTGGTGATTGTAGTGTTGGTGGTGGAAGTGGTGGTGATAATCATTAGAGGGATGACGATATTGGTTATGGTGAGGGTGGTTGTGATGGTAGTGATGATGACATATAGGAAGTGGTGGAGATGGTAATAATGGTGATAGTGATGGTGGTGATGGTTATGCTGAGGATAGTTATGGTGATAAGGGTAGTTGTTGTGGTTGTGGTGGTGATAGTTGATAGGTGATAGTGGTGGTGATGGTGATAGTTGTGGTGGTGGTGATGGTGATAGTTGTGGTGGTGGTGGTGATGGTGATAGTTGTGGTGGTGGTGGTGATGGTGATAGTTATGGTGGTGGTGGTGATGGTGATAGTTATGGTGGTGGTGGTGATGGTGATAGTTGTGGTGGTGGTGGTGATGGTGATAGTTGTGGTGGTGATAGTTGTGGTGGTGGTACAGGATTGAATCATTATTAACCCATTGCCGCCGGGGATGGCATTTACGTACATGCCATGCCCACTGTGAGTCGGCTTGTTCGATTGTTTTTACACATAGATGGCTACACTTGTACTAAGTCACCAATGAGCCATCTACGAGTACTGCCTGTCTCGCCCGTTCACTCTTTTCATCAATTTACGAAAATATTTAACGTTATCCTAATTTGCTGTTAAAAATAACACCATCTATATGTATAGCACTAGTAAGAATATGTTTTTCCCGCCAATTCAAGGAAAGGTGAAATCAGGACTAGCAGAGCCATCTATGGACAGAGATATTTCACAAAATTATAAAAAATGAGTACTGCATTTCCCCCATTTTTTGTTCATTTTCCCCGGCAGCAATGGGTTAAAGTAAAAAGTAAAAATAAATAAAAAACTCCATTTGCCCAGTAGGTCTGTATGGTGATTATGACAATTTTGTATGGCAGCCTAATCTTATGTATCATCAGGTCCCTCTCCAAGAATCAGGGAAGACAAAAGAAAGAGAAACCCAACATAGCTAATGCACAGGGATAAAGGATGGTATATTGTATCAGCTATCTCCAAGCAAGGAGCACCTTTGAGGTGTTAAGGGATGTACTGATTCATAAATGAGCAACAGGTGGCACACATGTCCCTCTCACCTTACCCAACCCAGTTCCAACAACTGAAAGAGTACAAATGTTCAAACAAACCTGAAGGTAGTGAGAGTATCAATAGCCTGATTAATTTTACTAGAAGAATACTTAAGTGAATCACATCAAGACCAACAGATCATCCAAGATCAATTATAGGCTACAAGAAGTTGTCCAGACACATGTTCTTAGCTTAGAATAGTAGAACTGGGATGAACAACACAAAAAGAATCTGGCCCAAATCATGTAAGGATCAATGAATCAGAGGAATCAGGGAAATCAGGGATGCTCTCCTTAACCTGTTGAATTTCTAAGGGATTTATTTGCAGAATTATTCAGCAAACTCTGGAAGGCTGTATCTCAAAATGTACAACTGTTTAGTGCAAAAACTTGGCTGTAATGTACATCTTGAAATCAGTCATGCTCCATCAAGAGAAGCAGATAAATCCACATAACCAACAGATGTGGCAACAACAACAAAAATAACAACCAGTGCTCAGAAAACAGACACTATCTGGCCATCAGTCAGAACTTGCCTCTTTTAAAGTTGTATATCAAGAAAGAAAAACTAAATGCCCAAACATTCTGAACTGTAAATCAGCTGTCAACTTTGCCCATTTGTAAATACAGGCCTGATGACAAAACAAAAATAAGGTTATGGGATATCCATACTCCTTGCTACCTATTCCAAGCACAAGATTATGTTACATGATGTTTTTTTGTCTTTTATTGTTAGCCATTACTGGGAAAAGAATGGCAGAACATATACTTTTGCACCCCCAGGGAGTGAAACACAAAACAGAAACCCTCTATTCCAAAGAGGAACATCAGCCAGAACAAAAGCTGAAGAACACCAAACCAATGCAATAAGGAGACAGGAGACACAAGAACAGTTTAAAAAGTGGGGCAAAATAAAATTAGATTGCCATGGAAAAAAAATTGTAAATACAAGATCCCTGTGAAAAGTAAAAAAAAAAAAAAAAAAGAATAAATAAACTGAGAAGCACAAACACATTGATTGTGACATCATTTCCTTCACATTGCTGTTTTAGTTCTTTTTATTACTGTCATAAAAGGTAAACATCTTATGGCCTTTGGAAATAGCCTAGTCTAAAAAATATAATGCAGAAAAATAATGAATATGATAATTTCTTACAATATAGTGAACCTATATTATCTATAAAACAATGCAAGTAATCTATTTGGCATCAAGTTTATCTTCAAACTACCTTTAGCTTGAAAGATGTATTTGCAATAGATAATTAAGACAATGAAAATGAAAATAGCCACAATAAGAAATCAAAATAAATTGTAATGTTTCAA